TGACAAACAGCATGGCATTTCCAGCCAGGCCCAGCCCCTGGTTGGGAAGGTGAACACAGCATGAAACCCAGACACCACGGCTACCATCTGATTGTCCCCCATGGCCCTCAGCTCCATGAGCTTGGTGGCCCTCCAGCCCAGCGTCCTCACACGGAGGAGCAGACACAACTAGACCTGGGTGTGTGGGAAACCCTGAGGGGGTTTCTAGACATCAATCTGATGTCTAGGTCAGGGTCCTGCAATTGCCTTCCAGAATGGGAGCAGAAACTTTATTTACTTTCCGGAGGATGGAGCTTAATCACCCAAGGACTAAGTCACACGAGTGCCAAGAGGAACAGGGCCCTTCCCAACAGGTCCGACCCCTGGGAGGTCCCAGGACAAAACCCCCCAGCCCCTGCAGTGCTGCCTTTCCATTCAGTGACCAGCCTTGAGCTCCCTGAAGCATGCAAGGGACTTCGGACTTTGGTCTTGCCTCTGTGAACTTGCAGATTATGCAGAAGAACTGAAGAGAGGGCATGGGGAGCAGAAGAAAAGGAGAAAGCACCACTGATGTGTCTCCATTTCAGAGAGCTCCCCCCCTGCCCGGCAGGGGCATGGGACCGACTGCTCATCCCCAGCCCGTAGAGCTCTCGGATACATGGCACTAACACCACGAACTCCCACACCAAATGCTGGCTGGATTTTTATAGACTTGTATTGCTTTAAAGAACAAAAAAGAAAAACAAAACAAATGGAGCAAAGGGCAGCACGATGCGAGTGCCAGAACAGCACTGCTCAGACCCCATCCTTGCCTTATTTCCTCTGACAGGATCACAGGCTGTTGCCTTTGCCATTTAACATTAACTTCTCCATCACCACTCAAGGTTACGGACAACAGATTAGTGCAGCTCAACAGGGATATATCTCAACGGGGATACGATCTAACACGTTTCACACCCTTAACCCTCTCTCTACCCTTACATCACAAGGCTCGCTCTCCCAGAGAAAGGTTTTCACATCCCAAACACTTCCCACCCAGTACCCCACGGCTGCGCTCCCTCACGGGAGGATGGTTTCTAAGATTTCCCACCTGCTCGGAAGGTAAGAGCAGGAACCGCTGATACCGACATCTCTCCCTGGGCTGGCACGCTCGCTGCAGACTTGGCAAGCAAAGCCCCAACCTGACTAAAATGCTTATCTTGTTCAGTTCTTTGCCACAAAGCAAACAGCCTAATTTGTGCCTCTCTCAGTCCCGCAGCCGCCGCTGCCAAGAGCCAACACCGCTTTTACCCTTCGCTCCAGCTCCAGAGAAGTTTGGGAGTCACTCCGGCCCCCACCACAGACATTTGCAAACTGCAGCACCAGAAGGGGAGAAAAAACACGGGAAAGTTATCCCGAGTATCTTAACAAAAACGAATGCAACTGCTCTGCTGCGGAGTTGGCATTTTCCTCTACTTCCAGCTTCTGTAACATAAACGAAAACCCAAAGTCAAGGCAGGGTTTTTAGTCAAATTAGTAACAGTGGTAAGAGTTAACAGACTGATGATAGCTATCTGGAGACTGCTTTGACTGCAAGATGTATAATAAATCTTTTCAAGTTGTGACAAATGTCTTGGCTAATGTAGCCCACATTCTACATTTAGATCTTCCTAGAATGTAATACAACATTTGGTTTTAGTTTTTTAATTATAATTAAGAAACAAACTCCAGTCCACTTTAATCTCTCCACAGCCCGAATTTGCACATGGAATCACTGTCCCCACCGTGCCAATCTTTCCCACACTCAATATTCAAATCAAAGGAAAACCAGACATTCTCTCCAGCAGGAGTTTTTCGCTTACAGAAATATAGTCAGAGCACAGAATGGGTATTTCTAAGAGTCCAAAGGTTAAATCCTTGTCTCTTGCTCAAGGAAATCTCTGCGGAGCAGGTAACACCCCACACCCTGGTGTTGCAAGATGAGAACCCAAACAGAACAGATCAACAACTCCACTTCTGAGGGATCAAGGAGGATAACTGAGGACAAGGAGCTGCCTCGTCTGTCAACACGCACCATCTTTGTCAGGAAAATACCTCTCGGATCCATTTCCCTACAGGCTCCATTCCCATGGCTCCCACACCGCACCTGGAAGGCCAGGTTTAAACGCCATTAGCATTTAAGTGCCATGAGGTATTGCATTAGTGCACAGCAGCAATCCTTGACGTGCAGGATGAACAAGCTACCCTGAGCTGATGGGCACGATAGGGGAGAATAGAAATACGCAGGCGGCAGCTCAAGACCTGTGTGTTTTTGAAGGAGTTCACAGAACCAGATGCTGAAACAGGATAATCCAGGCTGTCCCGCGTCTGTTACTTCATAGCGCCTCTCGCATGCACAGCGCTTCACAAACACGGAAAAGCTCTGGCTGCACTTCCGCAACCCAACCCTAACATAACACATAACAGCCTGGCTCTGCTGTTGGGCCAAATCCTGAAAACATCAGCAGGTCAAAATGCAAGCGAGTGACCGCATTCACACAGCTCCTGCTGCAGGTGACTGGGTTTCGCATCCTCACAACCAGAATTGCCCGTGGAGGCGAGGAGGGGGATGTAGGTGAGTGGGCTGGAGGGGGACGAGGCTTGATTTGGACCAGGAGCAAGAATGCGTTTTCTTTCTGAAAAAACTGAAACTATGATCCTGTCTGCAGGTGCCACCGCAGAACCAAGGCAGGGGGTAATGTTGGAGGGAGCAAGACAGCTTGCAGGACAGAGCTGGAGAGGTTGGTACGTCCTACACCCCAGTGTCCTCCCACTGCAGCGGCCCCAGGGCAGGGCCATCCACTGGAGAGCCAAGGTGAGGAGCAGGCTGGATCCGCCAGACAAGGCTCCCTTCTCAACACAGGGTAGGAGAAGGGAGCAGAGGCTGAACTGTGCACACAACATGCGTTCAGTGCCTTTTTCCCTCTGTGCCTGCACCTCCCACAAAGCCTCTTCTTGAAAAGGCTACAGCTCAGGTGCAACTGAGCATTTGTGTCCCAGGAGCACCATTTTGCCACAGGGAGGAAACCAAGGTGGCAGAGAGCTGTGATCACCATCAGAGGTAGGTCCAAGCCACGCAGCACATGCCCTGTTAGAGCTTGGAGAAGGAAAAGCTTGGTGGGGACCTGGCAGCACCCTTCCTGCGAGGAAGGGCATGGGAGAGAGCTGTGATCACCATCAGAGGTAGGTCCAAGCCACGCAGCACATGCCCTGTTAGAGCTTGGAGAAGGAAAAGCTTGGTGGGGACCTGGCAGCACCCTTCCTGCGAGGAAGGGCATGGGAAAGACAAGAGCCAGGCTCCTCACAGCTCTACCTGGCAGCAGAACAAGGGACAAGAGGTGTAAATTTAACCAGGAGAGGCTCCGACTGGGTGTCAGGAGGATGGTGGAGCAGCAGAGCTGGAGCCCAGAGGGGCTGTGCAGTCTCCTCCCTCGGATGCTCTCAGCACCTGACCGGATAACACCACAAGCAACCAGCTGGACTAGAAACCTCCCAAGGTCCTGTCCTGCCTGAATTACCCGCTGGATCTATGATTCCTGGTGGTAATCCATAACGAAACCCTTTACCTGACATAGGGAGCAGCACCCTGGACACACACCGCCTTCCTGACCTCCTTCCCAGCCACTGCACGTTTCTAAAGGAAGCTGCTTTCCAGCATTCAGCTGACAGCCCGCCTGGATCCACCTCTCACGAAGCAGCAGAGCTGGAGCCCAGAGGGGCTGTGCAGTCTCCTCCCTCGGATGCTCTCAGCACCCGACCGGATAACACCACAAGCAACCAGCTGGACTAGAAACCTCCCAAGGTCCTGTCCTGCCTGAATTACCCGCTGGATCTATGATTCCTGGTGGTAATCCATAACGAAACCCTTTACCTGACATAGGGAGCAGCACCCTGGACACACACCGCCTTCCTGACCTCCTTCCCGGCCGCTGCACGTTTCTAAAGGAAGCTGCTTTCCAGCATTCACCGGACAGCCTGCCTGGATCCACCTCTCATCTGGCTTCAACAAACATTTTTACCGACAAACAAGGACCTTTTTTGTGGATTTGGGATGGGAAACTGCTCAAACCAGTCCCAGTCTGTGGCAGTGGGGCTGTGCTGGGACGGGACACCCTGCTCCCCACGGGGGCTCCCCTCCCGCTGCCGGAGCCTGATTCCAGCCCCAAAGCACAGCCTCCTCCTCCAAAACCGTGCGGGCTGTCCCGTAACAGCCCTGGCTCTCACCCGCAAACTTTCCTCTCGTATCCTGCTAGGCTTTTGGCCACGCTGAGGCACGGAGGCCCATGGGCTGGTTCTCACTCTGCAGACAGGCTGCTGGGCAGAGCCGTGTTTGCCGGTGGCTGCTGGATGGTTACACCAGCACTTCTCAGAGGGAACCAGCTCAGAACCAGCCGAAGCTCTTTAAATGTGGCAGTAAAGCTCACATTCACATTACAAACTGAAAAACCAGCAACTCAGAGTTTTCTAAAAACCTCCACAATCCCTTCCAGAGGTGAGGACGCCTGTGCAGCCTTGGCAGGGCAGGAGCAGAGACGGCAGCGAGGAGGCTATCGCTGAGCACAGGGAAGAGGGGCCACACTCTTCCGCTCACACTAAATCTGCAATTCTCTAGAAGACCCAGGAACGGCTGCCAGATGAGTTGCAGGACTCAAAAAGCCCTGGAAATCTACCGCATATTTTCTTCCACTGCTCTTTTTGCCGTGTTTTCCTTTCAGCACAGCACACCAGCGTGTTTGTGCTGGCCAAGCCTACCCTCCTCCTTTCCACCGCACCTTCAAGCAATCCAAGCACAGGAGATACAGTATTACCTCAAATATTTAACCAAGGGATTAAACTATTCTCTTGGCAGAAGGCTCGAGCTGCCCCACGGATACAGCTCTCGCACCGGCTGGCAGGCGCTGCGTGACAGCCTGCTCTGCAGCAAACAATCTGCCCCGGGCTACAAAAAGCTCTCCTCAATTTTCTCCAACACTTTTTTTTTTTTTGCTAATATTTCTGCTCACCGGTTCCCGGCCATCCATTGCCTCCATCCACAGCTTTCGGTCCTCTTCTGAAAGCGCCTGCATGGTGATCACGCCAGGCCTGCAAAGATACAGGGAATGCTGTAAATAAACTGCAGGATGGAAAACAAAGATGACAAATTTCCCATAAGAGAGAGACAGAGACAGAGGACAACCTGCTTCCCAGCCAAACCCCAGCAGTGTGAGGCCCAGCCCAGCTTGACCTCTCCAGGGATGTCCCTGCAGGTGCTAACCATTACCAGCAAACGAGCAGAGCACAACTCCAACCCTCCACACACGTTTTCAGTGGTTTTAATGTAAGACAGCTGGATGCCAAATTATTCCTCTGGCTTTCGGCCAGACAGCTCACCTGCACCAGGGCTGAGCACATCCCTGCAATGGCAGGAGAGGGCAAGGAAGGTAACCAAGCAGGCAGGAGACCCACACATCTCAGCCCACCATGTCCTGCCACCGCTCCAAGCAGTGGCTCGAGGAGGGGAACCTTCTGCTGTGTGAAGAATTTCATCCCCAACACATTCGTGCCAGTGGTGCCCTGGGGTGTCCCCTCCTGCGACCCTGGTCCTCCCACCCCCTGCCATTACACACACAATAGCCCTGCAGCTGCACTGTAAATCCAGCCCCCCATAAACTAACTCTGTCTTTGCTTATTTATTTTAATGAGAAGGGGAAAGAACAAGCCTGCGTGCCTGCAAACAAAGCACAGGGAGCCCGGGGACACCACCAGTCCAGCCCTCACCCTAGGGCCAACGCCACCTCCATCGCTCCTCAGTGGACACTTCTGGACTGCCTTTTCCATAAAAGCGGTTAAAACTTAATTACCCAGCTCTGATAAGCATAACCACCAAGGTCGTGATGGATTTAACGCGGCGGAGCGTGTTTGCACAACCCCAGGTGTGGTTGTGTGTTTGCACAGGAGCAGAACACGCCGCAGAGGGTGAAAGCCAACGCTGTGCTCCCACGGGGCGCGTCGCGGGCTGACGATTTGCTGCATGGGGCTGGGCTGGGAGCTCCCTCCATCCTCAGCACCCAGCTCATCTCACGGCCAGCCCTAGGCCTCCCCACCCGCTGGGTCTCCAGCCTCCCAAGGGGTGGTTGCATCCTGCCCCGCTCCCAGCAAACCCCGCAGCGGGGCCGGGGGGAGCAGGCAGAGCCCCCCACTCTCGCTGAGATGGCCAGGATCTATTCTGTTTGTTCAGTCTCGTCGTTCTGCTTCCAACCAGGCTATTTTCAGCCGCATTAGCGGAGCACGGCAGCTATTTCTGCAGGAGGAGAGCGGGCAGAAGCCCTGGCAACGGGGGAGACGCAGGCACGGCCGGGCTCTGCGCGACTCCGCGTGCTCGGGGTGGTTATGGGCACCCTTCTCTGCAGCAACGCTCACGGGCTTTCATCCATCACCAGCAGACAGAGAGCCTCTGACGCTGCTCTTCCCATCCACATGGAAGCACAGCAGCTCCAGAGGGGCAGCGAAGGGCCAGGATCACAGCTCGTGGGACACGGGGCTGCCGCGGGACAAGGTGGGACACGCGATTAAACCTCGGGAGCTGCAACCGCCCCCGGACCGCGTTCAACACAGCACGTAGGCTCTTTTGGGTACTAAATCCTCAAGAACTGATAAGGCCTGGGAAGAGGGGTAATTTCTAACTCGTACTTCCCAACAGTGATTCAGCAGGAGAACGTGAGCTGCAATAACACTCTGCCAAAGTCTTCTGGTCCTTGATAAGTCCTTAGGAAAGAAAACATGTACAGGGGCTCCCACAGCGGTGGGTCTGGCCCATCTGCTGTCGCTTCTGTGGTACATACGGGCAAGGAACAAAGGAGTAACCCTTCTCCCTACCTCCATTCAACCAACCAACCCAAGAGCTGGCTTGTGGCACTCACACGGCAGCTTAGCACTGCTTCACCAGCGGAAACCATGCATTCAGGCTTGCAACAAGCCCAGGTCCAAGTAAACCAGACATAATGTGTTTGATCTCTGCTAATCCCATTGGTGAGTCAGTCAATACTCACCAGCTTAGTGGTTTGGAAGTCTACTCATTTCGAAGGGAAGAGGAAACCACTTAACCATCGCCCCATTTGAGAAAGAAAATGTTCAACATCCAACGCCAACTATTTTCAAAACACTGAACAAAGCTCCTTGTTGTGCAGAGACAAAGCGGTTCGAGAGCAGCTCCTGGTACCTGCGGGGCTGCAGCAGTGCTGGCTACAGGCTGGCAGCAAATCCATCCCCAGCACCAGGAGAAGGCTTTTTTTTGGGTGTCTCAGCTACACGCCCTTCAGCCAGGGCTAAAGTCTGAGTTTAAGGCAAGTTGCTGCTGGGGGCACAGTCATTTCCCAGGCAGAAAGCCCCGGGAGGGCTCTAGCTCAAAGCAGGGAGACCCAGGAAAAGGCAACAATGGGATTTCTGCCTCTTTAGCCAAGACATGAAAACAAAATCATCTAATGGTTCGTTGGTGTTAAACTCGGCCCTGGGCTCCCAGTGAAGCAGAGACAGTGCTGGTATCTGGCTGCCAGGTTCCTCGTGCAGGGCGAAAAGGTGATAACACGAAAATGTTTGTTCTGCCTTCCAGCCGATAACAACTCTTTGGGCTTCACTTCAAAGTCAAACTTATTTAACAGCAGGCAGGGAGGGGCTGTGAAACTGAATTAAAAACCTATTTACATTGCAAATAGCTCTCTGCCTTTCCTCCCCCAGCGCTCCTGTGCCAAGGCATCCATTGCACCACTCTCCCGAGCGGAGCCGTCCTCCTCCTGGTGCCGTGGTTAAAATGCACCCCACACATTAATGCCTCCTTCATTATTTATTTGGACGATGCCCGCGGGGTCCCACGTGTTTAATAGTCAGGTCGGGTGGCTGGTGCTCAAACAGCACCCAACTCACACCATCAACACGCCGCTGTGTCGCACTCCCCGTCGGCGTCTTGGGGCTTCCTTGAAAATCAACCGTTTCCAAAAGTGCGCTCGTTAGATTAGGGATATCTCAATTATTCAGCGGAGAGGCTGAGAGAAGGAAGGCCCTTCCCTGACTTCCTTCCCCAAGAGATAAACAAAACCTCCCTATCTCTGCTCCCTCACCTCACACACAAATGAGCCTGAACCAGAGCTCAGGCAGGTTTTGCTGCTGGGAAGCTCCTGTCCCCTCCCAGAGCCTGACGTGCCACGGACACACGTTGGAGGAGCCTCCTTCACCCTGGTGGCTCTGCCCGGCCGAGACGGTCGCGTGGGGACAGCAGCACAGGGACCCTCCTGCATCTGATGTCTAAAACACACAAACGTTGTGGCAAACAAGATAAAGGACCTGCTGCTTCGTTACTAGACGCTGCCTCAGCCCTGTCACCCTCCAGGCACCAAAACCCTTTGCCGCCTTCTGGGATGGGAGGAGAAAAAAGGGACATTTAGTGATCAGTGAAAGCGTGAGATCGGAGCAGAAGATGGTAAAGACTTCACAAGAAAATATATTTTCAATATGCTACAATCTAAAAACTAAAGAGATTTTTCCATACGAGACCACACAGGAAATTTGAATTTTCTCAATATCTCAGCTTTTGTGAAAAACAGCCTGGTTTTAAGGAGCTATGACTAAGCAAGCAGAGAAAATGAGAAAGTTCAATAGCTTGTCCTTCTCCCAGAAAAACAAACAAATAATGAAAGCAATAGAATCTGATAAGAACTTTCAACTCCTGTAGCAGATTATCATACTGAGACCATCTAAACTGCTGAATGAAAACTGTAGGAGCGGATTAATACCAGGGTCTGGAGAGCTGAGCAGAGCTGAAGACAGGGAGAACTTTGCTGTCCCAGTCTGAGCAGGGCAGTGTCCCCACACGCTGCTGGCACCCCAGACAGGACCCATGGTCGTGTGGTGCTGGTCTGGGCACCAGCACCCAGATGTGGCCCCAAAACAAAGAGGAGAGAAGATGTGAATCACAGAATCATGGGATGGTTTGGGTTGGAAAGAACCTCAAAGCTCATTCAGTGCCACCCCCTGCCCTGGGCAGGGACACCTCCCACCACACCAGGTTGCTCCAAGCCCCCTCCAACCTGATCTGGAATGTTTCCAGGGATGGGGCATCTGTCATCTCTCAGGGCAACCTGGGCCAGGCTCTCACCAACCTCAGAGTGAAAAATTTCTTCCCCACATCTCATCTCAGTCTCCCTTCTGGCAGGGTCAAACCATTCCCCTTCATCCTAGGGCTCCCCTCCCTGATCCAGAGTCCCTCCCCATCTCTCCTGGAGCCCCTTGAGGGACTGGAAGGGGCTCCAAGGTCTCCCCGGAGCCTTCTCTTCTCCAGGCTGAACCCCCCCAACTCTCTCAGCCCCCCCTCCCAGCAGAGGGGCTCCAGCCCACAGAGCCCTAAATAACGGGGAGATTTTATTCCTGAGTTCAGAAAATCCCACTTGTCAATGTAAAGCTTAAAGCACCATCAGAACAACCCCCACCAGCAGCACGTTCTGCAGGGGCAGGGGCTGGTGTGGGTCTCCGTGGCCACCAAGGGGGGAAGGAGCTTTGTCTGCTGCTCGCTGCCAGCCCGGCTGTGACAAACCCCATAATCGCTTTGTTGAAAAGGTCACTGGAAAGGAGACACCGGGAGAGGAACAAGTACAAGTTGTATCGCACGTGCTGTCCAAAGAGCCGGCGTTGGGGAACACCAGCAGAGGTGGGGCGGCCACCGGTACCGGCCCCGGCCCCGGGAAGGGGTGCCTGTGCCTGCCGTGGGCAGGGTGATGCTCAGGAGGAAACAGGCAGGTCTGTGAAGCCCGTAGCCGTGGCAAGGCCAACCACCCGCCCACCGAGGGCCATCTGCTCGGGGACATCTCGGGCAGGCGCCCGGCAGCTCACCCACCCCGTGCCAACCATTGCACAGCCCGACCCAGCGCAGTGCCACCCGGCCACCACAGGGCACACGGGCACCAGCCCAGGGGGATGGCTTTACATGCTGAGTTTACTGCCTTTATGAGTGACTAAGAGACCAAAACCCCCCAAATTCTGCATGCCTCCCGCTCCCATAAATGCCAGTTGGTACGGGAAGCACTTCGCTCCTGGCCCGGAGCAATGACCTATATTATCCTGAATTACACAGCCTTTGTCACCAGCCAAACGAGATTCTCCTCCTCCTAAGGCTCACTTTGTAAGACACGGGCTGTCATCCCTGTTTACCTTGTTCACAAAACTGATTTAACGCACAGAGACTACAAATAAGTTTAGTTTAAAAATAAAAGAGCGGTGACAGTCAAACACAGCACCCATCACGCTGGGAATGTGTTTCAGCCAGCCACAGGAACACCATTCTGGGGCGAATTTTGCTGTAACAAAGCAAGAAAATGCTCCTCACTTCCCCCAGAGAAAATCAGAAGGGTTTGCAAAGGCAGTGGTTGGGGTTTCCTGGGCTCTCACAAACACCTGCAGCGCAGCTCTGCACCCAGAGAACCCTGTCAGCTCCTGATCAGCCGATGGGCAAAGGAAGCAATGTTGTAACGACAGATCGGGCTGGAGATGTTCAGCTCGGCGGTGCTGAATCATCTTTACGGGGGAAAAACCATTCTTTTTCTTTCCCTCCCCCAGCAAGCAGCAGCGTCTCGGGGTGCTGTTTGGGAAGCTCCAAGCCTGTACCCCATGTTGTCCAACACCCCTTTCCCGAAATGCCCCGCTGACAGCCAGCCCGTTGCTGCGCCGAGGACAGGAACCGGGGAAGGACCGGCCGAGGCTGCCACCTCTAGGCTGTTCCACAATGAGGGACCTGAGCGGGGCCCTCTCGCTCTGTGTCGGGGTCACCACCAGAGCCCGGGGTGGTCCCGCACCCCACAGCACCCACAGAGACCCTGCGGGCAGAGCTGGGAGAGCTACGCACCTTTTATAGAGAGAGGAGACAAAAATACTTGAGTAGGAAGTGAGATTTCCTCATATGTACTTAGACACACATGTGGCTGTTAGCACGGGGTTTGATAAATGAGCAAATCCTAATTACTCGAGGTTTTACACCACCAGCCCCAGCAGAGACAGAGGGAGACCCACGGCCCCCCAGCCCTGCTGCCTCCTCCCGCCCCAGCCAGTAACAGGCACACAGCTTGTCTGGCCCTAACAACAAACTGATAACTAAGGCAGAGAGAACTTCACAAATGATTGGAGACACCTCAGGAGAGCCAGGGAAGGGAACGGACCTCACACTGTCCCCGTGCCACCAAGGAACTCAGGGAAAGGCACCGAGCAGGGGCTGCCTGCACCCACCCATGGGCAGAGCCCATGCCGCACATCGGTGTGCGGGTGCCTTTGCAAGGTTAATTAAGTGTAACCTGCTGCAGCAATAACAGACGTTTTGGACCCAGATGGTGGGGGGACAGTGAGGTGGCACCTGCCCAGCTGGCATCAATGGCCTTGGGACATCGCAGGGTCATAGGTTTCAATCCACAGCCCAGGGGTCCGGAGGGCGATGCTGCTCCGGAGGGACCCACAGCAGAGCCCAGAACAGCCACCAAACCCCAAGGGGATGTGTCTCTGGAGAGGTACAGAGGGGATGGACAGGCTTGGAGCAACCTGGGCTGGTGGGAGGTGTCCCTGCCCAGGGCAGGGGGTGGCACAGAGGGCATTTTGAGGTCCCTTCCCACCCAAATCATTTTGTGATTCTATGCACAAACTGCAATCTGCCCAAATCCCCAGTTACAAGATACTCGACTCTCACTGGACATTGCTTACAAGTCTGATTTTCATTTAGAAGTTTCCACGTGCACACAGAGAAAAAAGGGGGAAACCGCTGTAAGTCAACACACAGAACATCAGGGAGACAGAGAAGCATCTTGGGGATGTTTCCCTTAATCACATCCAGACTTCCTGCATGGGGCTGACGAACAAGACATCAAGTTTCTAACTTCCCTATTGGCAGAGACAATTAAAAAAAACACAAAACAAAAAGAAAAGAAAAAAAGCAAAAAAAAAAAAAAATAACCCAGCCCAAAACAAAAAGCCCCACTCCACAAAGCAGCCCTCTCCCTTCTGCGAAGAGAGACACAGACTCCTCTCCAGCCAGCCTTTGGTCGGAGATGCCCCATCACGTGTGGTCGGAGATTTGGGGGCAGGGTAGGGTAGAGCAGGTGAGCCCCAGCACCTCCGCCTGCGACCAGGCACCTCTGCAGAATGTCACCAGGTCCCCTGTGTCCCCAGGGCCACGTGGTGAAGCCGGGCCAGGCTCTGGCAGGACGGCTGCGGGGTGGCACCCACGTGCTGCCAATCCCCGGTAATCCCGGGCTGGCACAGGAACCGTTCCTCGACACACACCGCTTTGTGAAAGAGGCCAAACCAGGAGTGCCGGGCGAGGCGAGGTGATCTCCAGCAAACCCCGGCCCCTGGCAGCGTCGCCTCAAGCCCTGACGGTGCCCAGATCTCCCGGTGCTCAGCAGGACTGTCCCGGGGAGGGGGAGGCAGCCTGGGCACATCACACTCTCCTCTGGCCATGGCAAAACCTCACGCCTCCTCTTCCTCTTTGCTTAACTATTTTGGAAAGAACCTTTACTTTAGACAACTAACGACAAATTCTGATACCAAAAATATGCAGAGCTGCCTGTACACTGGGGTAAGAAGCAGCCTTTTAGTTCATGTTTTCTGTCCTCCCTGTCCTCTCGGGCAGAGGCAATCTCTTGCAGCGGGAACGTGTACGTGAAATGAGCAATTTCTCAGGTTTCCCCGCCTTTGCCGCTCCCCTGCCATTATTTACATTTAGCAGGCAGATTTCTGGAGTAGCTCTTGATCCCATGCCTAGCAGGCTCCAAACATCAAGGGAAGGCTCAGCTGCCTCTGAACACGCTGCAGAAGAAAACTATTGTGGTGGCTGGCTTCTCCTCCTCCCACTTTTATTTTGATTTTCACATTAAAAAAAAAAAATATCCTCAGGGCATAGGGAAAAAATAATAAAAATCTCCGTGTCAGCAGAAATACTGCAGCTTTCTGGAGGAAAGCACAGCTACAGAGAGCGGGATGCAGCCCCGGGGCCGCCTTATCCCTGAGCCAACACGGGCAGAGCTCCATCAGCCCAAGCCCTCCCTGCCCGGGGCTGGCAGCGAGCGGGGCTGGCAACCAAAGGCCGTGGAAGCCCAGGGCGGGCAGGGAGAGGTCTGCAGGGTAACTCCAGCCTTGTTCAACACCGCGGGTTTTGATGAATTCAGGTTTTAGCCCAGACCTCCCGGGCATCCCCGCAGTGGAGGTGGGGAGGGCTGGAAAGTGAACAGGCACACAACGGGGAGGGCACGGATGTTCAGGGACTTGGGAGTGAGCTTTTGTAAAGCGTGTAAACTTCCTGCAGCGAGGAAGAGAGGAGACAGTGACTAACAGCGCTCGAACAGCACCCCCAGCCTGCTTTTCCTGTTTATATATGTAAGCCGTGCATGATGCTAATTAGATATGATAACAGGCTCTCATTCCTAGGCGCTACAGATTGCATCCACACACGCATCTGGTTCAGCTGCTACGTGATAAATCGCATCAGAAGGCATTTTTACTCCTTCAGGATAAAGAAGTGATGTGAAGTGCCCGGAGGAACAAGCGGGGCTGCCATTATTGCCCATCCATACGGCCCAGCAACAGCCACTCTCCGGCACAAAAGCTGAAGTTATTCCAACACATACCCAACGCTGGAAAGAGGCAGGGCATCCCTGCCAAAACACCCACAGAGCATCTTTTCCATACTCACAACCATTTACCTTACGCAGCCAGAGACTGCAGAAGTGCTAAAGCACCAGTAAAGTTTGAGAGACTTGAGTAAACTCAGCACCTTGTAAACCGAAGCGCTCGCTCAACACACGGAGAGCACCTGGCGAACAGCACCAGGGCAGCGCCTTCCCAGGGCCTAATGCTTTCCATTCCCGGAGGGTATCACCAAAGGAGAAGAGAAACATGGAAATGGCACTCGAACTACCCAGGGAAGCCAAGCAGGGATGAGCATCACCTCTCCCCACACACGGAGAGCGATGCCCCCCACCAAGCAGGGATGAGCATCACCTCTCCCCACGCACGGAGAGCGTGACCCCCGGCACTCACCGATCCACAGCTTCCACGTCAAAGCAAAACCTCTTCTCGATGGAGTCGGTTTTCCGCCGCGTGCAGGATTTGAGGATAACGGCTTCGTCTTCTCCCTGAGAAGAGACAAAAATGGCAGAGAAGGCTGAGAACAACCCACCAACCGCTCGCCCGTCCCCGGCACCCACTGCGCTGTCAACAGACGTGTTCAAACCTGGGGAATTTGGCAATATCAGCCTGCCAAAAATAGGTATTTATATATCTGACATGATATATAAATCATGTCTTTTCACCCTTGCAACCATGTTTAGCCCAAAATCTTCCACGAGGAGCCTTCCTTTCTGAATGCACACCATTAAATTTGTGTGTTAAGCGTCCCACAGCCCATGCTTCAGGCAGGCAGGGAGTCTTGGACCACAACTTTTGGGCAAAGTCAGCTTTATTTTCCATTGCTGAACAATGTATCATAGACCTGGCTGTCAATTCTCACTCCAGGCTGCATTTTTGGCAGCGTTCTGCACACCAGAACTCTTAACGGGAGCAAACATGTCTTAAAATGTTTATGATATAACAAAGCAACGACAAAACCACGCTCCCATCCAGGCATCTGCATCCAAGTTGTATTGGATTTCACCCGCCGAGCGGGATCAGCGTGCACTGCTGTCCTCTGCTGGAGGAATTCCCTGCTCAGCACAGACATTTCTCCTCCAATTTGTAAAACCCACCCATGACTCAATAGAAAATGAATTCTGAAGGAGTTCCTGGAGATGGCCACTTCTCTGTGCTCTCTGTGCTGTTCTTGATGCCACCTTGGCTGACCACTCTGTTCCCTGACATCACCACTTTTCCAGGAAACACATTTAGGGACCCAGAACAGACCTGGGAAGACAGACCTGAGAGAGGTCCCTGCAGGGCTTCTCCCCAGGGATCAGCAGAGCTGCCTGCACCCGCTCCTCCTCCCTGGGCCTGGCACGAGGCTGCTCCCACACTCCAGCTCCCCGTCCCGCACTCAGGGAATGTCCCTGCTTCAAACCCACTAATATCTGGCCCCAGCTGCAGCCCAAGGGGCTGATACCACACACAGTGTCCCTTGTGACCCACGAGTGATGGGTCCCCTCCTGCAGCACCGAAATCACTTGGTGCCTGCTCCAGCCAGACCCCAAAATGCCGGGCAGCGGGGCCACGAGCCCCTGGGCTAATCCATGCTCTGTCCGTGTCAGACATCACTGACAGGCTCTGCAGCTCCCACAGAGCTGCCCCAGCTCAGGGAACGTTTCACACCAGGATCCTGCAAGCCAGGAGACCCCGGGCGAGCAGCCCCCCCTGGCACGGTGGCTGGCACGGCACGGCACGGCACTGTGGCTGGCACGGCACAGCAGGGCTCCTGCCCTGCCCCAGAAGGACTCGTGGTTGTGCCAAGGGCTCATGGTCGTGCCAAGGGCTCATGGTCGTGCCAAGGGCTCATGGTCGTGCTGGCAGCGCCCTCACCCCGGCAGGGCTCCTGCCCTGCCCCAGAAGGACTCATGGTTGTGCCAAGGGCTCGTGGTCGTGCCAAGGGCTCATGGTCGTGCCGGCAGCGCCCTCACCCCAGGGTGCTGGGGAAGCCATGAAATGGGAAGAGACCACATGAAACACACTTGCAGCAGCTGATGATTACAGGGCCGGGATGTTTTAATGCTGAGTTATAACGAAGATGCTCCGAGGCAAGAGGAAATTAATTTTAAAAGCTGTCCTCCTCGCAGCCGGCTCCCTTGGCCAGCAGGGAGCTGTGCAGCCGCCCGTCCAGCTGCCCCAGGGGCTCCCCTGCACCGGGATAATGCTTGGAAACCACCCCGGCCGGGAACACTCCGGAGGGGTCTATTGTTCCTGCTGGAGAGAGGAGCAAAGCCAGCCACGGCCGGGCTCAGGCTGCCCCAGGAGCAGTGGGGCAGAGGGGGAGTGCTGGCCCCCCAGCACCCCACATCCACTGCTCCCCCTGCTCCTCTGCACCCCCTCCAGCTCCAGGCTCTGCTGTGGCTCCATCTAAAACAAACCAACTTGACCGGCCAAGTCACAGGCATTAGGGAGGGAGGAAAATTATGACCAGGTTCTCTTCTCCAGGTCTTGGAGCAGGAGCTGGGGACCATGGCAGGACCTGGCAGGGCATGGGGCAGAGGCATGACACACCGTGTCCCCAGCATCGCCAGGGACAGCCAGAGCAGAGCTGAAGATGCCACTGCACACACTTCATCTTTTCAAGGACTCTCCCTGAATAGAAATAAGTAAATAAAGAACAGACTAAAAGCAAGAGGCAAAAGGCCCAGTCTCAGCCCAGAGGCAGGGGCTGCAGATTTGTCCTTACAAATAGCTGTGTGCAGACCCTGGCCTGGAATTCAGAGCTGGAGCCTGAAACAGAGCAGTGGCCAAGGGGCTCTGTCCACTTGGGAAACCATCGCTGCTCCCAGCACAGCCAAACGGCGTCCAAAGATCTGTGGGCTTTTGGGGATTTTCTTGTCTTTTTTCTGTTTTAACAATGGAGCAGGAGCTGGGGACCATGGCAGGACCTGGCAGGGCATGGGGCAGAGGCATGACACACCGTGTCCCCAGCATCGCCAGGGACAGCCAGAGCAGAGCTGAAGATGCCACTGCACACACTTCATCTTTTCAAGGACTCTCCCTGAATAGAAATAAGTAAATAAAGAACAGACTAAAAGCAAGAGGCAAAAGGCCCAGTCTCAGCCCAGAGGCAGGGGCTGCAGATTTGTCCTTACAAATAGCTGTGTGCAGACCCTGGCCTGGAATTCAGAGCTGGAGCCTGAAACAGAGCAGTGGCCAAGGGGCTCTGTCCACTTGGGAAACCATCGCTGCTCCCAGCACAGCCAAACGGCGTCCAAAGATCTGTGGGCTTTTGGGGATTTTCTTGTCTTTTTTCTGTTTTAACAAGGTGCAGAGTTAATTCCCCACGTGGCACCGGCTCCTGGAATGAATCTGACCCACTTCCCTGGCATTGGTGTCACCTTGCTAAGAACGGCCCTGTCTGAGCCCCGGGAGAGGCTGCAGCCCCCGGCGCACGGTCCCGCTGCCCACTCACCCCTTTTCCTCCAGATTTCTGGTCAAACGGCACCATCGTTATCCGCTTCGATTCCCTCTGGTAGGTGCAGTAATGCTTCACCCAGGAAGTCCCAAAGTGACCTGCAAAGCAAATGCAGTGTTTACTCCCAGGCGTGGTACAGTTTCAGTGCCCTCCCGTTAATAACCTGCAGTTTAACAATCATTTAACAGCACAGATTCCTGTACCAGCGGTAAGGTGCAGAGTTAATTCCCCACGTGGCACCAGCTCCTGGAATGGATCTGACCCAATTCACTGGCATTGGTGTCACCTTGCTAAGAATGAACCTGTCTGAGCCCCGGGAGAGGCTGCAGCCCCCGGCGCACGGTCCCGCTGCCCACTCACCCCTTTTCCTCCAGATTTCTGGTCAAACGGCACCATCGTTATCCGCTTCGATTCCCTCTGGTAGGTGCAGTAATGCTTCACCCAGGAAGTCCCAAAGTGACCTGCAAAGCAAATGCAGTGTTTACTCCCAGGCGTGGTACAGTTTCAGTGCCCTCCCGTTAATAACCTGCAGTTTAACAATCATTTAACAGCACAGATTCCTGTACCAGCGGTTCCTGTTGGACTTTGCAAGTGCATTAAGCATTATTACCCCCTTCTGTTCAGGGGAAAGACTTCTATCAGGCACTGGCAGGGATTCTCCCTCCCAAGGAGAACCTGTTTCCCACATTCCCACCTGAACATCCCACCCCTTGGGCCAATCCCTCTCTTCCAGGGATTTTGTAGCCCTCTGGATCAGCCCTCGTGCCCCAGACCCTGACAAACCCCCGTTCCCAACTGCACTGCCCGGGCAGGCAGCTCCTCCACCCCAACACCTACGTTTCTCCTGCACGTAGAGATACCCCTCCATCGTGTACGGGCTGATGTTTTTGTGCTCGTGAGGATTCTCCTTCATCTTCTTCATCAAAGATTCGACCTCTGACCTCGTTCCTTCAAAACGATTCCTTGTCTGCAAATTGAAACAGGAATTGCTCCAATGCATGGACCCACCGTGGCTCCCTCTGCACCGAGGAGGCACCTGGGATGGGATGGGATGGGACGGGATGGGACCCCAGAGCTGGGTCACCACAGCCCGTGTGGGAAATGGGACCAGGGGAGCCCACTGTCAGCCACGTGGGATGGGATGGGATGGGATGGGACGGGACCCAGAGCTGGGTCACCACAGCCTGTGTGGGAAACAGGACCAGGGGAGCCCACTGTCAGCCACAGGATGGGTTTTCTGCCTGGGCCTGGGTTTAAGCTAACAGAAAAACATTACAACAATTGGCAAGTTGTTCATATTGTGAGCTTTGTGATAAAGTTGTTTCAAAAGAAGGAAACAGGCCTGAATCCTTGGTAGAAAAAGAGTAATGTTATAACAGGAGGGGAAGGCAGAGCTGCAACGCCAACACGCCAAAGCCCTGAACTCCCATCCCACGCGTGGGCACCAACCTCAGCCGGGCTCTGCTCCCGGAGACCGGGACGGACAAAAGTGCTGCACTTCCCAGAATGAACGGCACTTTGAAACGCTCACAAAATGCTTTGAAACACTCACTAAAAATCCCAGGGCACACAACGGCGTCTGCCCACGGGCTGACTCCTGGGGGAGCCTTTGGTGTGCCCTGGGGAGTGAACCCTGGTGTAGACTGGGTGTACCAGGTAGGGCTAGGTATAAAAAAGCATTTGCTTTCCATGACACAGTCAAAGCCTTTGCTTAATGGCACAGAGGAAAGAAAAAAGGAGAATAAAACCTTTATTAAAATATATTGAGAGCGTTAGGCAGCTCTGCAGGAGGCACGTGGCAACTTACGTTCTGGATGCTGATTGTCAGCTCTGTCTTGAAATCGTTGAAGTCCTTTGCAAGCTCGTAGCCGTGGTGGTAGAAGGTGAAAAGCCCCTGCAGAAAGGCCAGCAGCTGTGTTGGGGGAAAACCAATTGAGAGACAGTCAGTAGGGACACCCAGCCCCTTCCAGAGCCACTGCAACCCCCCCAGGATGGAGGGAATGGCTGGCAGCCCCTGGGAAGATGCTCTGTTTCTCCTTTCACCTTCAGAACATCCCCTGAATGATCCCGAAGCCACATCCCTGCTTCCTCCCCCCAAAGCCAATGCAAGTCCCTGCCCCAGGACTCCTTGTCCCCTCTGTCCCCCTCCCTGCCTCCCCGAAGCCCTGGGTCACTGGGAGCAGAGGCAGGAGGTGCAGGAAGGCGGGAGGAGGATGAGGAGGCACCACACGCTGCCCTTCCCTCCCCTGTGCCTCTCCCGACCCTGAGCTCCCCTTGGCTCAGCAGGAACCACCTTTGCAAAGAGCTGTGGAGATCTGGCACTTCCCAGAGGAGCTTTAAAGGACTTAGCACCTGAGCAAAGGCACATCTTAGAAAACTCTTTTTTCCCCCCCCGTTTCTGTCCCTCCTGCACTCTTTCTCCCTTGTGAAAGTTACAGATCTATTTTTTTTTCCCCAATCAAGCCTATTTTTCTTTTAATTGCCAGCAGGCCCCTCAGTCCAGCCCACTGCACCAGAGCTGTCTGCACCATGAAAAAATGAAATATTCTGGCGTGCATGTGGCCACCGAGCCAATGGCTCACGTGGGTGTCTTCTCCCCTCACATCTCCCTCTGAGAGAGGGGCTGTGGGGTAAGGCTGGACCCCCCCAGCCCCCCCGCCACGGGGATGCCCCACGCCACAGCCCCGCTGCCCACGAGCCCCCGCTTCTCCCCACAATCCCCCACTTCTTTGCAGGCTGAGGCGGCTTGAGCCCTCACTTACAGGTTCCACGAACTCGAACATCTTCCTCTCCTGCACCTCTTGCACCTTGAAGACATACTCCAGGGAGACTTCGTAGAAATGCTGCCGAACCAGGTCCACCTGGCTGTCTGCCTGCAGGCGCCGGGGGGATGAAAGAGGAAACATGAAGTTACTACTGAGCAGGAGCACTTGGCCTCGTGAGCAGGGGACATCTGGGTCTAATGGGAACGCGGCCGTGCAGAACAAATTCAGCTTCAGACCCCAGTCCAGGGCTGGACAGATGGCACAGCGATTAAATATAAACCCGATTCGCATCAACAGGCTCTTTCTTCAGCTGAAAAATGACTCATGTTCTCACCTCCCTGACAGCTGTGGAGAAAAGCACGCATTAGAAGCGAGAAAAACGAGAAGTCACTGCATACTTGACAATAAAAGGCAATTCTCTGCTTTCTGGAAAGCACCGCAGCGGGAGACTGCCCACAGCATCCCGGGGCCGAGACGGGCAGCGCGGGCACCGCCACCTCCTCTGGGCATCACTCCATGGGGTCAGCAGATGGCAAACCCCCTCTGCTTCCAAGGTGAAGCCCAAGTGAGCAAAACCAGGGATATGCCCCAAAACCAGCGTGTCAGAATAATTTAATCACGCAGAGAGTGGCTGCGCTGCAAGCGGGGTGAGGGACGGGGTATCCCCGAGCTGCCGTCCCCAGCACACGCTGCTGCCACCTCTGCAAGGGACACTTTGCAAAGAGCAGCCCAGGGCATCACAGATGGTGGTGGTGCCCACGGGGACACGGGTCTGGGTGACCCACCGTCCCTCTGACCTCAGCACCAGGAAACTCAGCTGGTCCAAGAGCCTCACCCCCAGCACAAACCGCCATCAAGCCACGGCTCAGCAGGAGGGAAATTCCTCTGTCCCAGCTGAGGTCCTCGCCAGCGTGACCCTCACCGTGCCCAGGGAAAGCCAGACCCCCGGGGAGGAGGATACGTCATTCTGTGCATCCCATCAGGGCTGGGCACCCCAAAAAACCCAGCTGGCAAATACCCATCTGCAGCTGAACGGCAGGTTGCTCCTGGTTTTCTGTGTGGCACAGGGCAGTGCTGCGTGCCCGCGGTGCGCACGCTGAGGCCTTTAGCAAGCCGAGTTCTGAAAAGCAGAAAGTATGATGCAACCTCGTAGCTTTGCCAGGAGTTAAATGGCAGATTAGACTCTGAGTGTTATTTAATTGGTCAACGGCCAAAGCAGCAGAGAATTCCCACGGCTTCCTCCTCTCCTCGCAGCAGCTGCACATGTGGCCGGTATCTCCCTCCAGATGTGGGCAGCAAGAGGAGGTCAGGAAACAGAAACCACATCTCCCAGATGTTACTTCTTGTCTCTCAGGACATCAGGGCATCTAGGGAAGCTTCACACGGGTGGTGGTGACTTTCCTAAAGTGCTACCATAGCTTTCCCATGCACATCTGTCGTGGCTGCAGCCCCCTGCCCGGAGAGGGACCATGGTGGGCAGGGACCATGGTGGGCAGGGACCACGGTGGGCAGCCCCAGGGGAGATGCTGGATGGGGCAAGCACTCCCACATGTCGCTGGATGCCGTACTCACATTTCACAACCCACACGCTGCACTGCTCTTCCAAAGGCACCCCCTCCCCGGTAGGGCTTGAGACCCCAAAACCAACATACGTTTCCCGGTGTCCCAGGGGAACAGGTCCCAGCACCTGAACTGGGGAGATGGCACTGCTGGTTCCAGCCTCCTCCTCCACGGGAAATGCTGAAGTCAACGTTCAGATGGAAGATGCCAGCAGATGGCACCAGCAGCCAGCGCTGCTCAACGGGCTGCAGCAGCTACATCCTCAGCACAGACACTGCCTGCATCCCACACTGCATCCCACACACACTCACTGCCTGCATCCCTCACTGCATCCCACACTGCATCCCACACCGCATCCCGCACACAGCCACTGCCTGCATCCCGCACTGCATCCCACATCACATCCCGCACACAGCCACTGCCTGCATCCCGCACCGCATCCCGCACCGCATCCCGCACCCCCATTGCCT